ACTACCTGCACACTGTCGCCAAAGTCCCCATTACGGAGTGAGTAGCTATTGTTAAAGTTACCATTTAGCGGTAGAGTATCCATTGCACTTGTATCCCTCACCGCACTGTTCAGTGAGTGCCCTGGAAACAAAGGGAAATATCAAAGGGAACTACATTAGTCATCACTAATAATCACAAAAGGAGAAATAAAAATTTAATGCTGTTTAGGATGCAGTTTTATGTAAAAACAAAGTTAATTTAAGCCATGCTTTAAATCTGTTAGTTGGGCACAATCCTTAACATACAATACATAGACATGCAGTTTATTTGCAATGAGAAATTTTTGTATTTTCTCATGTATACATTTCAACTTTCCCTTTGAAAAATCACTATAAAAAAAGCAGGGCATTGTGCATTAAAGTCTGCCACATATGTGACAAAGCAATGGAAAAAAAAAGATCCCAAACAACATTAAGAAACAGATCCAAACACTATCACAAGACACCGGCAACAGGTTGATGTGTAAGTATGAAGCGACAAATTGGCAGGCTGACAGATACGGGATCTCTAGCAACTACGAGAATTTATGTGGTAAAGAAAATAAGAGGAAGGAAATGTGGGGGAAATATGACAAAGACAGAAAAGGGAAAGTAGTTATGTATAAACATGGGACAGCCATCTGTATTCTCACTACAAGGGGAGCCCACAAGCAGCACTCCACCATCACCACACACAGCAGGTGAAAAGACTCACTTTAGACAACTCACATCATGTCTGTCTGCTCAGGCTATCTGGTCTAAGAGCAGCTGATGTACAAAAAAAAGTAAAACAAAAAAAAAATGATTTATTGTAACATGGAGAATCGCTCAAAAGAACAACAAAATGCAAGATAAAAGTCTTAACTGCAACAGAGCAAGAGCAAGGGTTCAGCAAATTAAACAGGCAAGCATTAAACTGCTTTTATGTTTGTGGATCAAATGGCAACAAATACGGTGCCTTGTAAAAGCATTCGCATCCTTTTTTTTTTGTTTGTTTTTATAACATTGCTGCCACTAATTAATGTATATTTTATCCAGATTAAAATGTAATAGACCAACATAATAAAGTGCATAGTTGTGAAGTAGACAGAAAAGAATAATGAAAGTCTGACAATGGGGCATTAACCCCTGTTAATGTGATGCCCCAAAATAAAGTTCAGTAGGGTCAATTGCCCCAGTCAGTAAATTGGTAAAAACTGAAAAAGCATGGCAAAACTCCCAGGATATTGTAGCTCACAAAAAAAAAAAAAAAAAAAAAAAA